CGATGACGGCGACGACGACGATACGACGATACGACGACGACGACGACGACGACGACGACGACGACGACGACGACGACGACGACGACGACGACGACGACGACGACGACGACGACGACGACGACGACGACGACGACGACGACGACGACGACGACGACGACTACTACTACTACTACTACTACTACTACTACTTTCCTAGGCCACCATTTGGCGCGTCTCGGACGTGGATTTCGGTCAGGGATAGGTCGTCGGGCGTGAGGCCCAATCGGCGATGGGCTCTGGTGAACGGCCTCATGTCGGGGATCTTCTGACCCGGGTCAATCCAGACCCGGGTCAGCAGGAAACCAAAAACTGCAATGCAGGAAAAAAAAACTGCAACGCAGATCCTCGCAAACCCGGGTCAGCCAATACGCGCGGCCGCCTCGCGGCCACGAGCGGCTCGTTAACCCGGGTCAGCCAAAGGGGGTCTTCGCAGGATCCTTCAGGATCTGGCGCCCTGGCTGACCCCCGTTTGCATTGACCCCCGTCTCAAGGCTCCCGATCATGTCTGCTATTGTCGTTACCGTTAGAAATTTAGGGTGGACGCCTGACTCCCCCGCGAGAAGGGCCACCTCCTCGGGTATGCTCGACCTCGGGGACCCCCGTTTCGAATTGTTCCTGGACGCGTGTGCGAAGCAAGCCGCTTCCAGGTCACTCCGGTGAAAGGCGCAGACCCATGACTGCGGAGATGGTTTGGGTGAAGGAGTTGATCTTACTGTGTTTGGAGTTACCCATGGGAAGTTAGCGTCTGCAGGCGCCCATCAAGACGCAGCTCTGTTGCGTCGTGGGAGGATGCTGGTCCGTAGCGCGATTCGCCAGGCTGGCTACCCTTCATCTGGCGCTTGCCCGCGCTGTCGAGCAGGGCAAGAAACTATGGCGCTCAGTGTATGGCAGTGCACATGCAACGTAGACATCGCGTCCAGTGGCATGTTGCAGTCGGCCCCTCACGCCCCTGCGGCCCAGGAGGCTGCTCGCGCGTGTCCTGGCAGTGCCTTCTGAAACCGTGAATTTCCTACATGGCTGCCGCCATCAGGAATCGCTCCGCCGTTTTTTCGTCTTCGCCCTGGGCCTCTTGGTCGGTGGCGTCTCTGTTGAAGGCGGGGCGCGGGGGCCTTGACGGCTCCGGGGGCAAGCGGGCCACAGATTGGGGGCTGCGACGGCGTGCGTGGGCCGTGGTCAAGCTCGATGGTGATAGCTTCCCTGGAGATTTCAGGTTCGATGGGGTGTTGGAAGAGGAGGAGGAGGAGGAGGAGGAGGAATGGGAATGGGAATGGGTGAGGCCCTAAGCAGGGCAAGGCGGCGAGCCGCCTCAGAAAATGCCGTGCGCCTCCTCGTCCGAAGAGTCGGCGTCCGGACCAGCAGAGCGGCGGGCAGCCGCGCGCCGGAGCTCCCGCACCATCTCCACGTCGTCCTCCTGCAGCCCATGGCACTTCAGCAGGTGGAGTCGCGCCGCGCGCCCAACGAGCGACGCTCCCCTGGGTTCCTTTGCTGCCCCGTGCCCGCGGCTGGCCGCCGCCGCTGGGCTTCCCAGCAGGTCCACGGCCAGCTCCAGCTGCTCGTCGAAGCCCAGGGCGAAGGGGCCCACAAGCTTCTCCCCGCGGTGGCCCGCGCGGTAGTGCGGCCACCTGTGCTGGCGAATGAGCCGCAGCTGCTCCACGCCAGCGGGAGTGCGACCACGGCGCCCGAGGCAGGGTGCCTGGAGCAGCTTGCCGGGGCGCCTCCCGGTCATCACGGCGCCGCAGGAGAGGCAGAAGACCAGGCGGACCTCGGGCCTCTGCACGACCCCGCAGCGCAAGAGCGCATGCCGTTGCACCCGCCACGCATGCCTGGCCAGCACAGCCTCGTCCAGGTCGAACGTGAGGGAGTCGCACGGGGGCCCGTGCCGCACGGCCGCAACAGGCCCATGACCGTCACCTGGTAGCTCTCCAGCAAAATCGTCGGCTGCGGGATCCCCATCAATCACGGACAGGGGGGCCGCAAGCTCCACGTCCACCGGAGGCAGGCCAGAGTTGGGGTGTGCACCTAGTGGGGTACCCCTGTTTCTGGACCTCACCGAAGGTCTGCGTAAGCGCCCAGAGGGCCCTTTGTAAGCCCTCTGGGGCATCGCCTAGTCTGCGCGCCAACAACTCGCAAAACCAACATCGATATCGCAGGGATGTAACCCGTGATTTCAGGGCCAGCAAGAAACAGACCGCTCGGGAGCCTCCAAGACGACGCCTATTCCGCCGCGTTCACATTTCGGGCAGCAGCACGTTCTTTTCTAAGGAATACACCTAAGATGTCCGACTATGATGCGGTGTTGAGTTGGAAGGTGTTATTGTGTGGCGGTGAAGTTGTCGTGGTCGACGTGCGTGTATGGTGTGCGTATGCGCGTGTATCTGGCTTCGTTCGTGTGCGCAAGGCGTCAGCAAGTGTGCAACATTACGAATGCGAATGTTGCGATGCGTTATCACGCGTGTATTGCGCGTGCGTGCATACGCGTGCGCCGCGTGCACTTGGAGCACATGAATCGTTTGAAAAAATCAGCCCGCACGGCTTTATGCCATGCAGCCGCCAGCCCCTCGACCCGACATGGCATCAAGACGAACCGTGCAAAACAACGCAACATAAAGCAATGCAATGGTCACGGCAATACCTATACAGGCTGGGGGGAGGGAAAGAAGAGGAGGAGGAGGAAGGGAGGAGGAGGAGGAGGAGGGAGGAGGAGAAGGAGGAGGAGGAGGAGGAGCCGCTGAGGCGCCTGACTTGCTTGCTTGCTTGTCGCAGGTAATGCTGGGGCACGGGCGGCAATGAGGCGAAACCTTCAAGAACATCTAGGGAGGACACAAGGGCGGAGCCCAAATACATATATCAAGGATCAATGGTATGACAATGGTAGGGACAGATTTGTTCTCTCGATTGCACGCTATGCCGTGGGCCGCCACGGCAACATCATTCACACGGGCTGTCTGCTTGCAACCCCAGGCGAGCGCGCCCGAGTAGGCCGTCGAACCAGCGAGAAATGTTGCTCCTCTTTTGGACCCTCACTCCTCATCCTGCTCCTCCCCTCCTCCTTTCCTTCTGCCCTCCTCACTCCTGCCTCCTCCTCATGCTCCTCCTGATCCTCCGCCTCTCCAGCACCTCCTCCTCCTTCCTCATCCTCGTTCTCCTCCTCATTATCCTCATTTCCCTCCTCCTCCTTCTCCCCCCTATCCTTATCCGCATC